AAATGAGTGAGTAAATATTCTCTAGTTCATGAACTCGAACTAACTGACACAACCAGAGACTATTCTTTCAAGACAATCTCCATTTTCTCCGGTATCGACAAAACCATCATCTTTGACCGACTCAAAGCTAGCCGCATAACTGGCTGTGGAACCTGTGTTCCAGCTCTGACAGAAGGCGATATTGAAGCTACCCCGCGAGTCGTTGCTCAAGTCGGCCCGGAGCCTTTCATCGATGCGATGGAAGCTGATCCGGATTTTGATGTCATCATTGGAGGTCGCGCATACGACCCGGCTCCCTATGTTGCATACTCCATGTTCCAGCTCAAGCGGCGATATCCAAATCTTAGCGAACAGCAACTCGAAGAGAGACACGGCGGGTTCCTGCACATGGGCAAAATCATGGAGTGCGGAGGGCAATGCTCCACGCCAAAATCGCATGGTGCAGTCGCAACCGTCTACCAAGACGGTGTATTTGATGTCAGACCCATTGCAGCCGAGTCGAGGTGTACGCCCCTTTCAGTGGCAGCTCATTCTTTGTATGAGAACACTAGGCCGGACATCCTGAGAGGTCCTGGTGGTGCGCTTCACCTCGACGCTGCCAAGTACGAGCAACTTGAAGATAATAGGACGGTCCGCGTCCGCGGAGCTGAGTTCAAGTCCTCGGTAGCGAGTGGCCAGCCGTATCAACTTAAATTGGAAGGTGCGAAGATATTGGGATATCGATCGATAGTTCTGGGAAGTGTCAGGGATCGTAGGTCAACATGGTGCAAACCTGGGTGTCATATGACTGATTATCTGCAGACATACTTATCAACCAGCTAGACGACCTCCTTTCCCTCGTCAAGGCATATGTAAAGCAGCAGCATCCGAATATGCCCGGAAATTGGGACCTAGATTTCCACACTTACGGCCAGGGCCAGAGAACCCCACTGGGTCCAGGAGAAGTTTTTATCATTGCAGAGGCCGTCGCATCCACCCAGGAGCTGGCAACCGGTCTTGTCTCTACGGCAAGAATCGGCATGATTGTGAGTTTTCATTTGGAGTTTGTTCATTCTCAATTGACGAGATCCACAGCACGGTCCGTACCCGGGTCAAAAGGCGACGTCTGGCAACTTTGCTTTCGGCATCGCGGGCAAACTTGAGATCGAGACTGGTCCTTGCTGCCAGTTCTCCGTCTATCACCTTATGGACCTTGAGCCCGGCGAGGAGCGACTTGGGTCCCGGTTGACCCGCGCCACTGTGGCCACCATCGGCAATCCGAACCAACCAAATACCAGACAAACCAGTCGCCAAACCCTTTCTCAAGGGCAGCTGGCGGCACCGAAGCAACATAAACAGTCTCTTAACCCCACTATGAACGGCCATGAGGGAGCAAAATGCACACCGCAGACACTATCTGACATCTCACGGGTTCTGCGTTCTAAGAACGCAGGCCCCTACGAGATTACTATAGATGCAATTTTCGAGTCTACGTCGACGTATGACGCTGTCAAGTATTCTGGCTTGTTGTCTGCAGAGACCGTTGCAAACGCTCTGAATATTTCCCCGGACGACATAGTATGGATGGGGTTCTTTGATCCGGCATTGGCGTTTAAAGTAACGATCCCTCGCTTCCGCTCTGGGAAGAAAGCCCCTGCGGGAAGCTTTATGGAAAATGATATTCACGGGTCGCAGCAGCATCTTGGTTTGTCAACTCTCAGACTCATCTCCGCACTGAGAGATCTTTAGGCTTTTCACTGTTGTTAGTGTGAAATTGTAACCTATTTCCACATATGACTGTATTTTCCTGTTTTGACACTCGTATTACTGAGTCATAATCGAACACTAATCTAAGGTATTCCTTCGATACCATCTTAACCTTGCAGTCGCAGCCGCCTAGTCTTCTCAAAGAACTCCATCATCTGGCTAGCTATAGTCGATGGCTTGGGCGTGTGAACAACAGTCACTGGACTCCAAGCAGACGCTCCGATCATAGTCTGAACGCTGACTTCAACTTCATAGTCGGAGTTGTCTGACAGCGACCCGAGGACTAAATGCGACTCTGAAGCGGCGCAGCAAACCTCTGTGGGCGAATCATTCTCGATTGCCTTAGGGAAGGCGGCGCCTCGAAGAGGACTTTGACGCCGTCGATATCTGATCAGAAAGCCCGTGGTCGGTATGGTTTCATTTTCAAGGTTCTCTCGTGCCCGGACCAGAGCTACTGCAATTGTCTTACCATCGATGGCTAGACATGGCGCTGTAGGAGCTCTGGGGAGCATTCCAGTAACGATGGTAAACCTTCCCTGGTTGTCGAGGATGATGTCGCCAACACTGGTCTTGACCTTCTTTGGGCCGCCAGGGCGGTATGCGGTATCTATACTTGCAACCCCAAAACAGATTGGAGCGGTTGCAGGTGGCAGTAAGCGCAGCTTTCGCAGAGCACAGCAAGACTGCCTCACGAAGGCAATGATGTCATCGTTCTCGAACCACTCTTCGTCCAAACCCTCTTCGGGCTTTCCTGTGTCAGAGTTCTTGCGGCCAGACTCGATTCGTGCTTGGAGTGGGTGCTTGTGAATACCGATAGAGGGACCTCCTAATGATAGGAAAAGCCTCGGAGACGTGTCGCCCGTGAGAGATTGAAGCTTCATCACTCCCAGATGGTTCTCAAATTCTTCTTCAAACAGAGAATCAAGCGTCTTTTGAAGCACACTAACCTCTCTTGTCTTCTTATCGATGAACCGCATGGCAAGCTCAGTCTGGTGCTGGAATAAGCTGGCCGCTCTTCGGAGATCTGCAATCTTTTCGTTTTCGTCCGTGTTACCGTCTCGAAGTTGAGGAAGTAGGCGACACGCCTCCTGCTCAAAGTCGTTTTGGGCGCCAGCAAAGGCAGCCCGGAAATCTGAAATCTGCCGTCCGATTGCTGGGAATTCTTTCTGGGACAAATCTTGACCGAGAAGATCCTGCAACATGAGACCCGCGGTGGAGCCGGCTTTGAGAACCGCAGCCGTCTTGTTGACGAGGCCAGTATCCAAGCTGCGTATGGTCCGGCTGGCTTTCCTGTCGAGAACCGAGAGCGGAAGAAGCTTGTAGTATAGCGTGTTCATCTGCTTAGCCAGCGTCTTGGGCATTTCCCCAGCAACCCTTCTAGCATCCTCGATGCTGGAAACATTCTCGGCTATGGCGCCGCTGTATGAGATCTTGGCATTTTCGAAAAGCGACTCGTTCTTGACAGAGAACTCGACCTTGTCGCTACCGCTGACAGGAACATTGACAACGCTCACTTTGAGCTCCCCTGTAATCTTTCTAGCTTCTTCCGCCGAGGAACAGGCCCGGATCAAGCTAAGTGTAGCGCTTCCCCCCTCAACGACTTCAGCGACGAAGTGCGTGTACTGAGCGTCGTCGAGATATTTTCCGTACTTCGTCGACGCGAGCACCTCTTGAGGAATCCGGCGGGTGCGACGCACAACGGTGCATGAAGCGTCGAGGCGAGCCTCGTGGGCAGTAGCCTTCCTGTCGTTGAGGAACTTGGCTGACCCCGTGGCGCTGAACAGCTTGAGGTCCAGGCTCAATGAGCCCTCAGCGTCGAGGGAACAGTTGGTTCGGGCTTCCTCGAGCGAATGCGAGAGGACAAAGTCCGCGTTCTGTACCTGCGCTTCATTGAGTTCCTGCTTCGCGTTGACCACTGAATGATCCCAAAGGGAAACGCCGCCGAAAAACTGTGAGGTGCGCGCGTCGTAGAGCATGCCGAGCTGGATATCCTGCCCAAGGGCGGGATGGGAAAGAGAAGTATCGTTCGGTAGGCCCATTGTATCGCGATGGTGGTGAAAGTCGACGACAACTGGATAGAAACTGCAGGAGTTGTGAGTTCAAAGATTTGAAGAAAACGATTGTTGACGGGTTGGACGACAACGTGCTTAAAATCATGGCACTCCGATGGTAAGGGTGATTACATGTATCCGTGAGGCAATCTGCAAGCACCGGCTAGCTGGCCGACTATAGAATGAAACATGAGAATACAAATCCAAAAGCTTAATGCTGCTAATCTAGCATAATGGTATCGGTTGCGTACGAGATGCTTGAAAATTCTGACTTGATGCTTCACATGTGACTGTGTGCAGGCCGTGAGAAATTTCGCAAGCGGATAAAGACTTGAGACATGAAATGTGATACTTTGTGATGTATGAAAAGGATGTGGCCCAGGTCACGCCAAGATTTCGCAAAATGGGATAAGCTGAACCATATGGCTGGCTGGGATAAAACAGACAAGCCATGGCTGCTAATGTCTCACCGGTGGCCATGCAGATCTAGAAAGCTGATTAGACGGGGGACACCGCTAATTGACAATCCCATTTGCAACTGACAATGTGAACTTGAATGACTGTGTTCTCAATCAGTCTCGATTTAAGTCGACTAATCAAATTGTGTCTACACGTCGACGAGACTTGGTTGTACTAATTATGTATTAGACGAGGTGACTATAACAGCCCATGACAATTATGAATCGTGTCTGGAGCTTGAGAGGTGGCAACACCATCGTCAAGAATATATCTAAAATGTACGCGAGGACGGCTAGTGCTCCGACTAGATCGACGCGAAGAGATACGGAAAACGTGTTAACGTCACCCGAACTGCCCCAACTACCGAAGAAGCAAGCGTGTTCTCGGCAATAAGTCCATCTGAAAACGTTCTGCCTTGATTCAGTTAGTCGGACGCCACCAGAAATTGGGTCGGACTAGCACCCCACGAAATTGAGGTCCATGACTTGGACAAATTGCGTGTGACATTTATGCAAACTTTTCAAGGCTCGGTATTCAATGACAATGAAGCTTGGAATATTCCTTATTCCCCAAAGGCTAACTTGGGTATTGTTCTTTACGTCTGATGTGCCCCGCCGTATTGTAGCAACTTTATAGCCCTCCAGCAAAGACACTGTCGAAGTGAAGCCTCCCAGGCCTCTGAATGTACGAAATTAGCAACTTATATTTCTTCTTTTTGCACTTCTCCTCGACTCCATCAAGCTGTTACCAGTATGCGAAGGTATTCCCCAAATGGAAGTGAGGCTTGGTTTGTCCCAGACCGCGGCTGTAGTTGACGAGGAAAGTGTCGACTGTCTCAATGTCCAGACCGTCCACGACCTGAAAAGTCGTCGGCCGCAGGGTACCATTTTCGATCAAGTTTGGCAGCACACCCCAAAATTCCTTCGTGGTATGCGGATATTTCATCGTGTTACACAACACTTGGTTCCGAACGTAACCAGCAAACTTTGACCCGATTCGAGACTCGTCGACATCGCCTAGCTTGATCAACGCGGCCAAAACCCCTCTCTTGTGGCTGGGGAGAAGCTTGACGCCCAATGTCTGCCCGCCTGAGCCGCGCCCGACGCAGTCCACAGCGAAAACCAATCTGGTTCTCAATCTGAGATTCATCCAGTCCGCGGTCAATAACAGTCGTGGCCCCGAGAACCTTGAGCTGGGACTCTCTTGCTTTCGATGCCACCACAATGATATTCCCAAACTTCGCTAACCGAGCCAGCTGCACGCCAAAGTTGCCGGTAGCTGTCCCGCCACCGATGATCAGGATTGATTCCGCGCTGTAGTTGCATTCATCCTTGTCGGCACCAAAAGGACTGCGCAAGTTCAAGCCAGTCTTGTGAAGCAAGGCAAACACCATGGTCATGGCGTTCAGCGGGAAAGTCGCCGCTTCGTCAGCGCTTATGCCCTTCGGCAGCGGGGCTGACTGCCATGCCGGTACGACGCAGTATTCTTGGGTGCCAGTACTGTCCGCAGAAAACGGACTGCCGAACGCGAAAACACGGTCGCCAACCTGGTATTGGGTAACATCGCGGCCGCAGCTAACGACTTCACCAACGATATCTACTCCTAGGGGCGAGGGCAAGTTGTCTTTGATGAACAATCATTATCTTTTTCCCGAGGCATCATGGGGGTTCACTTCCAATGTTTAGTGTGGCTTGACACCCAAAGGAGAGGAGAAGCAACAACTAGAACGAAAACTTACATCCAACAATTGATACTTTCAAAAGAATTTCGTCCTCCTTTGGAACTGGAGTTGGCCGTTCAATGATTGATGGAGGCTGCTGCAGGGTGTGGATGACAAGGGCTTTGTGGGTAGACATCTTGGCAATATTTTCCGGCAGTGTCTGTTGTATTATTTGAGTTCACGTGTCGAAAGTTTCTTTTGATATAGCAAGAGATGCCGTGTGGTGAATATTGCACTTTCATACCTAGACGCTGCATACTTTATATGAAGTTGAAGTTCCGAGATTAGTGAACATCGTTTGTGGCGCTCTAGAAATTGGTAAGTTTCTACTTATCTCCACGGACTTACAATTGTCGCAAAATCCAATTTCGTGACAAATATTCTTCTTAGCGTAAGAACGGCAATGTGCAGGATACTAACATCATCGGCTCATCAGCAAGATGGAGAGTTGATTTCACGTCTTGTGGCTGATTCACGCCCGCTACTGATGGCCGAAACCCGCAGTTGGGCTCAAGAAATCAGTCTGATTATTGATACATTCGAGTCGATGTTGTTTAACAATGCGTAATACTTCTGATATTAAGCAGCTTGAACTAGACGTGTGGATGTTATTGAGATGACGATCTGGGTTGACATATGCAAAAGCTTCTTGGATTATCGGGAGAGTTCCTCGTCTTCCATAATAAGAATAGCTAGGTTGTATAGTATGAGCTAAAAGGGGTTAGTCTTGCTGAGTGACTAGCAGGATTACTTAAGATGTGCTCCGCTGCTTGATCATTGGTTTCTTTACCGGCATGAAGCCTCATAGTCTCTGCATTTCCTGGATTACCCCCAGAATTATCCCTTTTTTGCAGAAGACTCGATGAAATATACCACATTTTCTCCGTCCCAAGTTCCTGGGATCACCGGTTGTCTGACTTCAGGGGAGACGTGAACGTTTTGATACCTAGTAAAAGTAGATTTCATGCCAGTAGTAGCTCATTGAACCGCGAATGATGAATCGCCTATCTTTGGGGCAAGAGACTAATGGAAGTCCTCGAAAAAGCATTACTACTCGACACTGCGCGATGAACGACGCGATGTAGTCACCGTACGCCTTTACTGTGAAACTACTGCTGTGAAGATTTAAACCATGCCTTCTAGAGAAGATGCTAGCTCAATAGTTGCAGGAGGCTTCGCTGTGCAAAGCTAAGAAGCCTGCTTATATTCTCGCTCAATTCGCTAGAGCTGAATTTGAGTTCAATGTTTCCAGCTTCAACGAAATATGTACCTCCCTTTGTCATCACCAATTGTCCTGCAATGTCTGCCCCAAAGTCAATCCAACTTCCAAGACGAACTAACAAAACCGACTAAACCCACCAGAGACGGCGTGTGCTATTTAAAGTTCACAAACCCGGGGCCGAGCATGCGGAGAAATGACGCAAACGCCTGTCCAGGCCCCTCCAAACCCCAGCCCCGGTCCCTGTAGATCCCCTCACCGCAGGGCCGAAACATCAGATGACTATGGCTGAAACGCCAGTGACGTTCCCGCCCAGCGGCCCAAACGGCGTTTTCTCTTTCTCTTTCACAAGCCTCCTCTCAAGCCTCACTCTCACTCTCACTCCGACTTCTCAACCACGTGCTTCTCAAGCTGCAATCTCAAAGACAAACACGACGAAGCCCCTGACGGTCATTACCACTTGCGACAACTACAGCAACCTCAGCACCCAAAGCCAAGCTTGGCATAGTCAATTGACAGAAAGGCATCACAACCATGTCCAACAAAATCATCGCCAACATCGACACCCCCGACCCCTGGATCATCGCCGGCAACGGCCGCTTCTACTTCACCTTCACCCTCGACAACCGCATCGAGATCTGGTCCTCGCCCACGGTCGAACACTTCCACAACCCGCAAAAGTCCACCGTCTGGCACCCCGCCCCGGGCACGCCCTGGTCCGTCAACATCTGGGCCCCCGAGCTGCACTACCTCAACGGCCGCTGGTACATCTACACCTGCGGCGCGCCCCGGGGCGTCGGCAACCCGGGCCACCGCACCACCCTCCTCCGCTGCTCCTCCCAGGACCCCATGGACGCCTCCGCCTGGGAGTTCCTCGGGCCCCTCAAGGGCATGCCCGACCACTGGTCCATCGACGCCACCGTCTTCTCCCCCAACACCCGCGACCTCTACTGCTGCTGGAGCGGCTGGCCCGTCGGCGACCACTCCGACACCGAGCAGGACCTCTTCCTCATCAAGATGGCCGACCCGGAGCACGCCATCCGCGACACGCTGGTGTGTATCTCGCGCGCGGAGCTCGAGTGGGAGCGCCCCGACGACGGCCGCCGCGGCGTCAACGAGGGCCCGTCGTGGGTCGACATCCCCGGCGTCTTCCGCGGCATCGTCTACTCCGCCGACGGCAGCTGGACGAGCCACTACAAGCTCGGCCTGCTCCCGCTCGTCGGCCAGGACCCGCTCAACCCGGCGTCGTGGGCAAAACGATCGACGCCGCTGCTCAAGAGTCATAAGCGCTGCGGGGGGCCGTACGGACCGGGGCACGCGAGTTTTCTACCTAACCCGCGAGACCGCAGCCGCGTGTACTGCGTGTACCACGCGACGGCGGGCTACGGCGAGGGCTGGGCGAACCGGAAGGCGCGGGTGATCGACATGGGGCCGGAGTGCTTCGCGCCGAACGCGCATCCGTTGTGTTGCGCGCTGGAGAACCACATTCCGAAGCACCACAAGAGAGATAAGAGCGGCTCCTGTGTCATGTCATGACATTCGTGTCTGAGACCGATGCTCACCAATAATTCATGTAAGATACTTTGTCTTTCGTCAGGTAGATATAACGAAATGAGACGATGAATAGTGAAAAAGCTTGTTTCTGCACCTGAGGCCTTCTGTCTTGAGTCCTTCATATCCGCCACACCGTAAGTGGCTTGATTTCTCACCAAACTCAGTCTGCCATGGAACCCAAAACACACGGTCCAAAGAAGGGAAGACAGGAAAACCCATCCCATCAAATCTCCCATCGCATGAACTCCCGGATGAACTCCCGGCCCTTCCTCTAGCACAGCCCTACTCTCCAAAACGTTGTTTTGAACCTCTCCAACAACAGTTAAGTGCCACCAGACGGCTCCGGCTCCCGGCCCGAGAGCCACCACATGTACATCCCCCAAGAAAAGGGGTCCGATCACCACTTTTTTCTTTTGTCTCTTCTCTTGTTTCTTCATCACCCACCGTCTGTAGCCACAACCGGCACTTAGGCGTAGGTACACCTTCGAAACCTCAGACCCTTTGACCAAAACCACGCTAGAAGGTTACAAGATTTCGCCCGCTCGGCGTTCGCTGGGCCTAGCACCCCCCAAGGCTACTGGTTGTCAGCAAATAAGACGGCAATCCGTCGTACGGACCCTCGTGCATGGCGCATCCTGCGGGTAAGCGTTGGGTCGCTCGCGCGCGCCGCGCCCGTGGGAAAACATTGCAGTGGCAGTGTTCGGTGAATCCCCATCTCCAAGGCCGGTGCGCCGCGTTTTGCAACAGCATCTCCGCGAAACGTGGCAGCCTAGTGTCTATCATTGTTGTTGTTCTAGTCAGGTCCTGTAGTGAGCTCCTCGAATCTGCCAAAACAAAACTTGGAGGGCGTCTTCTTCGCGCGTTTCCATTCTTCTAGGTCCCGTATTCCTTCCACGAGGTGGCTTTCCGTTGTTGCTATTCCTTCTTGTCTTTCTGTTCCTTCATCAAGCATCTGCGCAAAATGAGGTCCAACGAGTGTACGCATAACCACGTGGCCGCCGAAACGCCCTCAACACCAAGAATGGCATCGCCAACTCCCACCACCACCCCGTCCAGCCCAGCAGCGACGGCGAGTAGCTCATTCTACCACTACACACACCTCGAAAGAGACCAAATCCGCCTCGTGGTCCTCGAACCCGCAACCACCCCATCAGACCCCCTCGTCTGTCGCATCTTGACATGCCACCGCAACGACGCGCCTCCATACGAAGCCATCTCCTTCACACCACCCTCCGACGACAAAACCACGACAACAATCACCGTCCTCCCGCCCATCCTCGCCCCGACATCGCCAACCCCTCTCCAAATCCCCTCCTCAACCGCCGAGGCCCTCACAACCCTCCGCCTTCCCACCGGCCCGCGCACCCTCTACCTCCCGGAGCTCAGCATCAACGCCTCCTCCCCCTCGGAACGAAGCTCCCAACTCCTCCTCATGCCCTCAATCTTCCACGCCGCAACCCGCGTCACAATCCCCCTCCTCTCGTCCGCAAACCACACCGAAGCAATAACCTACATCTCAACATCCCGCTTCCGCAACCCCTCCCCCTCGACCCTCACCCTCCTCCACTCCCTCTTCGCCCACCCATACTTCTCCTCCACGCTCTCCATCCTCCACCTCTCCCGCGCCCGAAACGCCGTCATCATCCACCACGCCCTGGAAGTCCCGCTCTCCAACTTCTCCCTCGCAGCCCGCCTCCTCCCCCTCCACGCCCCCATCCTCCAGCCCGTCCGAAGGCTCAAACAGCGCGGCTACATCTCCACCCTCACAACCTCCCAATTCGTAAAAGCCCTCTGCGAGGCATCGCCCTGCTCCACCCCGGACCCGCGCGACCGCGTATTTGCGTTTCTGGCGCTGTACCCCTTCCCCATGACACGACCGCAGATCGACTCGTACCGCCGCTCGGGGTTCTTCTCAGGCGACGCCAGCAACGCTTCAACCCGCGGCAAGGGGGAGGCTCTCGAGAGGGTGGCTAGTGCAGTCGAAGCTATCGAGGATGAAAAAACACGGCGGCGGATGGTGAATTACACGGCCCCCGTGGAGACGGTGTACACCAACTTCGCGACGCTCCTCCTCGAGACCACAGGGCTGGACTTCCTCTCCGCGGTCCAGGGGAAGGGGAGCGGTGTGCCGAGCTGGGTTTCCGACTGGCGCACCCCCAATACGCGGACGATATTGGCGCATCTGCCGCTGACGGAGTTCAATGCCGGCGGCGGGCGGGAGCAGGCTTTCCGCATCCTCACAGGGGAAACCGGTGCGAAGTTGGAGGTTCCGGCCATCTGCGTGGGGGACGTGAAGACCCTCGGGGAGGCGTGCGATGTATCCTCCCCTGGGTGGGAAGATATCGTCTTCCGTCAGTGGAGGG